CACATAGACAAAGGAGCTGGGGCTGAGAGATTCATGAAAGGGGCTTGGGGGAGAAAGACACACAAAAAAGGACAGGGGGAATATGGTGCCTACTTTTAAGAGAGATCTGAGGCGTCATTGTCCTATGTACATTGTTTCTTGTACCTCAAATGTAGCTATACCGCGAGTAGGGGCATGTCTAGTAAACAGTGAGCAGCCTGTGGCTGCTCACTGTAAAAAAAATAAAAAACTATTGGCCCCCACTCCTAAACGACGGGTGGGGCCCTAAAGTAAAATAAGGGGGGAGCCCTATTGTCCCCCCCTCAGCCCCCACCCCTGCACGGTGGGTGGGGGCCATAATGATAATGAGGGGGAGGGGGACCTACTGTCATTCCCCCCGCCCCCACCCCTAGGCGGCTGGTGGGGGCCATAATGATAATGAGGGAGGGACCTACTGTCCTCCCCCCCAGCCCCCACCTCTGGGCATGCGGGTGGGGGCCATAATGATAATGGGGGAGGGACCTACTGTCCTTCCCCCTGACCCCCACCCCTGGGCGGCGGGTGGGGGCCAAAGGATAATGAGGGGGGGGACCTACTGTCCTCCCCCCCAGCCCCCACCCCTGGGCGGCAGGTGGCCCCTAGTCACCCACCCCCCCACCCAAATAAAAAGTCCCCTACCTACCCCCTCACCCTAAAAAATTAGTAAGGGGGGAATCAAATTACTAACTTGTAAAGTAAAATTAAACTTACCATTCAACGTCTTCTTTTTTCTAAAATCTTTTTTTTTTCAGCCCCCTAAAGGGCCAAATAAAAAACCATCATACCCGTTGAACTTAAAATAAAATAAAAAACCTGAGCACAAAGAAAAACCTGACGAAAAAGAAAAAACCCAAGCACAAAAAAATAATCCATCTTCACCCATGGAGGGCTCCACGCAGACTGAGCTCTGCAGGGTGGGGGGAGGCTTATAAAGCCTTGCCCCGCCCTGCAATTAGGCTAAGAACAGGGTTTAAGCCAATCAGAGTGCTCTTTGTCATTTTTCACAACGTGGGAAAATTCAAAAGAACTTACCCATGCTGTGAAAAATGACACAGAGCACTGTGATTGGATGGCTTGAAATCCATCCAATCACAGTGCTCTGTGTCATTTTACACAGCGTGGGAAAATTCCAAAGAACTCAGCGCTACCTCCTATCACTCCCTCACTGTAGCGTGGCACAGCTCTGAGTTTGCATTTCCTGTTAGTCTGGCCGGTTACAGGAAACAAAAGCTCCCTGTACCCGCGGACTATACAGAGCTCGGCCACGCTACAACAGAGGTAGGGGAGGGGGGAGAAAGAAATTGACGGGGGGAGAAATTGACGGGGGAAGAAATTGACAGGAGGGAAGAAATTGACAGGAGGGGAGAAAAGAAATTGACAGGAGGAGAGAAATCAATTGACGGGGAAAGAAATTGACAGGGGAAGATAAATAAATTGACAGGTGGGAGAAAGAAATTGTGGGGAGAAATTGATGGGGAGAAATAAATTGACGGGAGAAAGAAATTGACAGGGATAAAGAAATTGACGGGGAGAAAAGAAATTGACAGGAAAAGAAATTGACAGGGGGGAGAAAGAAATTGACGGGGAGAAAGAAATTGACGGGAGAAATTGATGGGGAGAAAAAGAAATTGACGGGATAAATAAATTGACAGGGGAGAAAGAAATTGACAGGGGAAAGAAATTGACAGGGGGAGAAAGAAATTGAGAGGGGGAGAAAGAAATGAGGAGGGGGAGAGAAGAAATTGACTGGGAGGGAGAAAGTAATTGACAGGAGGGGGTAGAAAGAAATTGACAGGGAGGGGAATTGACGGGGGAGAGAAAGAAATTGACAGGGGGGTGAGAGTGACAGGGGAGAGAGGGGGAATGAGAGTGGGGAGGGGCTAGAATTGTTCAGTACTTTATATGTATGGGTTAGCACTTTCAATTGACTCCTATAGGATACAGGAAGCCAATGTAAGGACTGGCAGAGGGGTGAGGTGTGAGTGGACCGACTAGAGAGGAAAAATCAGTCTGGCGGCAGCATTCATAACAGACTGTAGCGGGGCAATACTGCTTTTGGACCAATCAGGAGAGGGTTACAATGGCTCTAATTTAGGAATTATCTCCTTCCATAACTGCATAGTTAACAGGCATTGCCACCAGATGTGCAAAAGTGTACCAGTGTTCACTCTATACCGCGAACAGATATCAGAATTGGCCTAGTTCTAGCTGTATAATTCAAAAGTAAATTTTGACTCAGCTTTAAATATGCATACAACAGACACAGTATACAGATTGCTCAGACTGATGACATTTGAATCTAATGTTTTGTTTTATTTTTCTGATCTAATAGATATTGGTTGGATCTTACATATGTGTCTGCGGTTTTATAATTTAGCTTACTTATATGCAGCTCTGTTAAGGAATCATTTGAAACCTTTATATTTCAAGCTAAAAGAATAAACAGTAAATGGGTGCTGTCCAATTTGAAACTTATAGAGTTCTTTTGAGTTGTTCTTTTTTATTGATTAGACCAGGGGTCCTCAAACTGTGGCCCTCCAGATGTTGCTGAACTACAACTCCCATGATTCTCTGGCTATCTATGTAATTCAAAGAATCATCAGAGTTATAGTTCAGCAACATCTGGGGGGCCACAGTTCAAGGACCCCTGGATTAGACCATCCTTGTGTTCTGACCAAGAAGATTCCTCTGAAAGACTTTCTGAAGGCTGAACTATATTGACCACAAGATATTTTAGGGTCTGCTGCGCAGAGGACAGTATTCTACAATGTAAACAAAAATGGTTCAAGGATGGATGTTTATCACCTGGTTCTTAAGGGAGAGAAAGAACATGGTGTATTATTTTTATTACTAAACACACAACAATAACATCATTAAATTAGGCTCAGATGTCAACAAGGAAACAACAACCCAATTAAAATTTCTCAAGGGATGTAAACAAACCAATAAGTTCCAATATAGTTTGAGTATAAAATGGATACTTACCAAATTATTGGATACCAGAAGATACACAATGTATATATCATAAGATGGATGTAAACATAAACAAAATAATTTAAAGTATTATAATATGCAAAACACCTAAGTAGCTGAGATAGAATTTATACATATATTATTAATAATTTTCTACTACGCATAGCTGCAATGGGAGTCTATCAGCAAAAGGTAAGAATAAGTAACTTTATATGAACAGGGGAAAGTCATTTTTTTACTTAGATTTTTTTTATTCAATAAATTATAAACATTTTTCATATTCCCAAACTGTGAATTTTAAAAAGCAGCCAAAAAGAAGTGACCTGCACTTACCTGTCTTCTGTCATTCAAAAAGGTAACATCCTGGTCATTAATATTTTCTATCCTAACATTTATTTTTCTGGTGTTTAATGTTTATTTCATATAGTAATTGTTTTATCAAGATATGTATTGGATTGTTAAATATTTAAACATACAGGACAGAAATAGTTAGCTGTTAGAGGTTAACAGGTAGTGGAAGCTAGTGAGATATTTGGGTTCTTCATATTTGCAGAGCTCTGTATGACAAAACTGGGGGAACCGACATTGGGGAACATGCTGGAAGTGAAACAGAGGGTATGGGGTGTAGGAGGGAGCAGTGCATCGAGGAAGTAATTGAACATTCAGAAGATGTAAGTATGACGCAAACAAGAATGCCGGAATGTGAGCAGGTTTTGCTCTTACAATATATTAGAAGATTTTGGCATAAATTGCCAGCACTAGCTTGATTGCTGAAGCTGGGACATAAGGAGGATCTCACATAAGGGCCCTGCTCAATGAGCTTACATGCTGGAGGGAGTGGGGTAGAGTGACACAGTAACAGAGGTATTGAGGGCCCTGCTCAGTTAGTTTACATGTTAGAGGGAGTGGGGTATAGTGACACAGTGACAGAGGGATTGAGGGCCTGCTCAGTGAGTTTACATGTTAGAGGGAGTGGGGTATAGTGACACAGTAACAGAGGGATTGAGGGCCTGCTCAGTGAGTTTACATGTTAGAGGGAGTGGGGTATAGTGACACAGTAACAGAGGGATTGAGGGCCTGCTCAGTGAGTTTACATGTTAGAGGGAGTGGGGTATAGTGACACAGTAACAGAGGGATTGAGGGCCCTGCTCAGTGAGTTTACATGTTAGAGGGAGTGGGGTATAGTGACACAGTAACAGAGGGATTGAGGGCCTGCTCAGTGAGTTTACATGTTAGAGGGAGTGGGGTATAGTGACACAGTAACAGAGGGATTGAGGGCCCTGCTCAGTGAGTTTACATGTTAGAGGGAGTGGGGTATAGTGACACAGTAACAGAGGGATTGAGGGCCTGCTCAGTGAGTTTACATGTTAGAGGGAGTGGGGTATAGTGACACAGTAACAGAGGGATTGAGGGCCTGCTCAGTGAGTTTACATGTTAGAGGGAGTGGGGTATAGTGACACAGTAACAGAGGGATTGAGGCCTGCTCAGTGAGTTTACATGTTAGAGGGAGTGGGGTATAGTGACACAGTAACAGAGGGATTGAGGGCCTGCTCAGTGAGTTTACATGTTAGAGGGAGTGGGGTATAGTGACACAGTAACAGAGGGATTGAGGGCCTGCTCAGTGAGTTTACATGTTAGAGGGAGTGGGGTATAGTGACACAGTAACAGAGGGATTGAGGCCCTGCTCAGTGAGGTTACATGTTAGAGGGAGTGGGGAATAGTGACACAGTAATAGAGGGATTAAGGGCCTGCCCAGTGAGTTTACATGTTAGAGGGAGTGGGGTATAGTGACACAGTAACAGAGGGATTGAGGGCCTGCTCAGTGAGTTTACATGTTAGAGGGAGGGGGGTAAAGTGACACAGTAACAGAGGGATTGAGGGCCCTGCTCAGTGAGTTTACATGTTAGAGGGAGTGGGGTATAGTGACAAAGTAACAGAGGGATTGAGGGCCTGCTCAGTGAGTTTACATGTTAGAGGGAGTGGGGTATAGTGACACAGTAACAGAGGGATTGAGGGCCTGCTCAGTGAGGTTACATGTTAGAGGGAGTGGGGTATAGTGACACAGTAACAGAGGGATTGAGGGCCTGCTCAGTGAGTTTACATGTTAGAGGGAGTGGGGTATAGTGACAATAACAGAGGGATTGAGGGCCTGCTCAGTGAGTTTACATGTTAGAGGGAGTGGGGTATAGTGACACAGTAACAGAGGGATTGAGGGCCTGCTCAGTGAGCTTACATGTTAGAGGGAGTGGGGTATAGTGACACAGTAACAGAGGGATTGAGGGCCCTGCCCAGTGAGTTTACATGTTAGAGGGAGTGGGGTATAGTGACACAGTAACAGAGGGATTGAGGGCCTGCTCAGTGAGTTTACATGTTAGAGGGAGTGGGGTATAGTGACACAGTAACAGAGGGATTGAGGGCCTGCTCAGTGAGTTTACATGTTAGAGGGAGTGGGGTATAGTGACACAGTAACAGAGGGATTGAGGGCCTGCCCAGTGAGTTTACATGCTAGAGGGAGTGGGGTATAGTGACACAGTAACAGAGGGATTGAGGGCCCTGCTCAGTGAGTTTACATGTTAGAGGGAGTGGGGTATAGTGACAGTAACAGGGATTGAGGGCCTGCTCAGTGAGTTTACATGTTAGAGGGAGTGGGGTATAGTGACACAGTAACAGAGGAATTGAGGGCCTGCTCAGTGAGTTTACATGTTAGAGGGAGTGGGGTATAGTGACACAGTAACAGAGGGATTGAGGGCCTGCTCAGTGAGTTTACATGTTAGAGGGAGTGGGGTATAGTGACAGTAACAGAGGGATTGGAGGCCTGCTCAGTGAGTTTACATGTTAGAGGGAGTGGGGTATAGTGACACAGTAACAGAGGGGTTGAGGCCCTGCTCAGTGAGTTTACATGTTAGAGGGAGTGGGGTACAGTGACACAGTAACAGAGGGATTGAGAGCCTGCTCAGTGAGTTTACATGTTAAAGGTAGTGGGGTATAGTGACACAGTAACAGAGGGATTGAGGGCCCTGCTCAGTGAGTTTACATGTTAGAGGGAGTGGGTATAGTGACACAGTAACAGAGGGATTGAGGGCCTGCTCAGTGAGTTTACATGTTAGAGGGAGTGGGGTATAGTGACACAGTAATAGAGGGATTGAGGGCCTGCTCAGTGAGTTTACATGTTAGAGGGAGTGGGGTATAGTGACACAGTAACAGAGGGATTGAGGGCCCTGCTCAGTGAGTTTACATGTTAGAGGGAGGGGGGTATAGTGACACAGTAACAGAGGGATTGAGGGCCTGCTCAGTGAGTTTACATGTTAGAGGGAGTGGGGTATAGTGACACAGTAACAGAGGGATTGAGGGCCTGCTCAGTGAGTTTACATGTTAGAGGGAGTGGGGCATAGTGACACAGTAACAGAGGGATTGAGGGCCCTGCTCAATGAGCTTACATGCTGGAGGGAGTGGGGTAGAGTGACACAAAAGGTAAGGGTAGGATAGAAAAGTAGGTTGCTAGAAAAGTAGTCACTGAGGGCTTAGTGTTTTATTTATTTTTTTGAGAGCAAGGAGGGTATGATGAGGGAAAGCAGTTTAATGATTCACTTCCTGAAAAAGTGAGTTTTCAATGATTTTTTGAAGGAATGGAGACTAATGGAGAAGGGAATGGAGTTCTACTGAAAAAGGTGCAGCCCTGGAGAAGTCTTGAAGGCGAGCATCTGAGCTGGGAGTATGAACGAGGAAAAACGTAGGCCTTGAGCAGAGCTCAGGGGCCTCGATGGGACATGCTTGAGTATTATTGAGGATAGGTAGGTTGGAGCAGCATTATGTAGAGACTTGCAAGGGAGTATTAGAATCTTAAATTGAATCCTATATCTTATGGGAAGCCAAGGTAGGGACTGACAGAGGGGGGTGGGAGGGAACGTGATAGGTGCGGGTGGACAGCAAGATGCATTTCTTACAGATTGTAACATGCAAGTTGAGAACATGTAAGACCACTGAGAAGGGGATTGCAGTGGTCAAGGTGAGAGAGGACAATGACATTGACCAGCACCTTAGCCTCATTAAATAGTGGCAGATACGCTACCACAGCTGTGATTGACCCAGACACTGCACGTTAGTACCTGATTTTATAACTTAGTTTTAGTATTAGAATTTTTTTCTCCAAGATACATATTCCATTCTGCGTTGTCAAAATGTGTCCTCCCTCCCCCTCTTCTTTAAACAGTGTTAGTTTCATTTTACTATGTATTTCTATAATACGCATTTCCATATTATTTGTTTAATAATAAATGTCTAAATGCCTGCATTCACTTACCAGAGAGCCAATCAGTGTGAGGTAATAACTCTATATGAGAATCATGAATTTGGCACGAAGTGCAGGTTGTTAATAATATAATAATCACTATTCCCAGCTATTGCCTTTTGTGCTGAAAGTCCCCCTCCCATCAGCATTTCAGGAATTTGATCCTCTACGACAGTGAATGGAAGCAGGAGTGAGAGCTGTGCAGAGGAATGCAGATACACCCTGAGCAGTCTTACTGCTCATTGCAATGAGTATTATAAGGGTAGCAAACAGAAGTGTGGGCAATGAGGGAGTGATGGCGCTAGGGGGTGCAGCACAGAAGTAAGCACTATGCCAGGGACAGCACCACCTGGCCTCATGTGCCAAGTCACTGGAGTCCTGCATGGTTACAGCCTCTGGCACTGACTGGTAGATAATGAGCCTCTGACATGTAAAGAGAGATCAGGACTTTTAATTAAAGTGCCTCCATCTAGCTAGGGGCCTTGAGTTTAGGCAGTAATTCCTTGCTCGGACTATGTGATATGTAATAATAACTGCCTGTATGCCGTGCTGGAGAATTGGTTACTCACATGTATTAACATAACAGACAGCAATTCAGTAACAATAAGACAAGAACTAATTAAATGCACCACTTCTAATGCTGCCAATTCAACATGTATCCCTTGTAAACAGCCACAGCCCACCCTGAGTTAATCATTGAGTAACCGGTGGTGCACATTGCTAGAGCCCGTAGGTCTTGACCATCTGGAAATACAATCTAGTGTTAGGGATAATTGTTGGAAAACATCTAGATGCAGTTTTTATAACAGAAGGTCGATGTCAGTATCTGGATATTGGCAGAGATTCACTGTCTGAAGGAGCAGGAGGCTGTCTCTTTCTTAGTCCAGTCACCAGGAGCGATATGCTATCTCTTATTAAGTGCAGTCATCAGGAGCAGAAGGCTGTCTCTTACTAAGTGCACTCACCAGGAGCAGGAGGCTGTCTCTTACTAAGAGCAGTTACCGGCATCAGGAGGCTGTCTCTTACTAAGTGCAGTTACCAGAATCAGGAGGCTGTCTCTTACTAAGTGCAGTTACCAGAATCAGGAGGCTGTCTCTTACTAAGTGCAGTTACCAGAATCAGGAGGCTGTCTCTTACTTAGTGTAGTCACCAGGAGCAGAATGCTGTCTCTTACTAAGTGCACTCACCAGGAGCAGAAGGCTGTCTCTTACTAAGTGCAGTCACCAGGGGTAGGAATAACTGCTGTTCTGGGAGATTTGAGATGCCTTACTAATAATGTATGTAACAAATTAATTTAGAACAAGAACAATTTAGACATACAGATTTCTAAACACATTTATTGTCTTTTAAAGACACATTACTGTTAAAGCTGTGATGCTACACTCAGACAAACCAACAATATGGAGATCCTAGAAAAGAGGGACAATGACATGTTGGGATAAAAATAGGGACAACCTCTCCTAAATAGAAATACTTTGGAGGTATGGCTTTTCCCTCTTTTTTTTCATTCTTAAATCTGTTTGTTTGCACAGAAAAGTAAATGGATTGCCAACTGCGATGGAAAAACTATCAAGATGTGAATATGTAAAAATAAAAAATATTAAAAAGATCAAACCGTTTAAATACATTTAAGTTGTGTTGGTGCCAAGAGAGTCCCTTTAATGACATTACTCTATAAATGCAAGGTATTTTATTATTATTTCCAGGATATATAACTTTTCATAGAATGGATTTAAAATGTAAATATGAAACTGGCATAATCCAGAATCTAATTCCAAGTCCAGTAACAATGAGTTCAATTTATTATTACAGAATTTAAAAAGTATCTTACCTAAGTGTTCATTTACATTCAGAGTTGCAGTGTTATCACAGAGATATATTGGGAAAGTGTATTAGAAATATTCAAAACAAGACATTTGAATATAACCATTTTGTAAGATGTTTGTATATTATGTTTGTGTCTTCTCTTGAAGAGATATTGATATACAGATTTGACAATAAACTTGCAATTATTCTCTTCATTTGTTTTATCTCCAGGTTAACAGAGAATACACTGATTATGACAATTCCTCCAATCTCATCCATGGCCTTGTGACAGAATTTATCATTTTTGGATTCCCAAGCCTTCAGAGATATCAGATTTTGCTTTTTTGTGTTTTCCTTTGTATATATATTTTCTCCATTTCAGGAAATGGGATTATTTTCTTCCTGGTTGCGCTGGACCATCGATTACAAACACCAATGTATTTTTTTGTCAGTAACTTATCCTTTTTAGATATGAGTTACACAACAGTGACTATACCTAAAATGTTGGCCAAGTTCTCTATGAATTTAGATACCATTTCATACACCAGCTGCTTCCTTCAGATGTATTTTTTTCTTTCTTTGGCAGCAACTGAATGTTTCCTCCTTTCTGTTATGGCTTATGATCGGTATGTGGCTATATGCTCCCCACTTCACTACCCAACTATAATGACCAAACAATTCTATATACTCCTATCTGCTGCTGCATGGTTGAGTGGCTTCATGATTATTTTAGGACTGTTAATTTTAGCTTTGAAATTACCTTTTTGTGGCCCAAATGTAATTCACCATTATTATTGTGACCACCCTCCTTTGCTCCAGTTGGCTTGTGCAGACACTTCCTTCAATGTAGCAGTTGGGTCATCTATGGGGGCATTCATCATCCTATTAAGCTTTACTTTCATAGTTGTCTCTTACATTAAGATTATAATAACCATTCTCAAAATAGCTTCCCATGATGGTCGCAAAAAAACCTTTTCCACCTGTGCATCCCATTTTGCGGTGGTGAATGTTTTTTACCTCCCACTCATCTTTATGTATATTCGACCGACAGCGTCCTATTCCTCAGATGTAGACTCTCTAGTGGCCATGTGCTATACAGTATTAACACCCATGATGAATCCAA